TGCTCCCTACCCTTGCCTGCCCCTGCCGCGCTTTCACCTTCCCTACCACCTTTGCAACAGTCCTTTTTCATCCATTTTGACAGCACTTCGAGAGCTACAGCCCAGGTAAGATTGGGCCTTGTGGTTAGGAGCAACAGCATCCCAACCTTGCAGTCTCATTGGCTGGAGCCATGACTGACAAGTCCCAAAGCACAAACACTGATACCCAGGGCGTGGTAAGCTGGGGGTTAGCTGAGGACCCTCAGCTTCTTTCTTTAACACATTTTCTGTGTTTTTTTCCTAGTGGTCCAGAGTCTACATTGGCTTTGCTGATAAACTTATCAGTAGCAGAGTGAAACATCCGTTCCATTTGTCCTGTTTACACAGAGCCTGTTTCTCCAATGAGTAAGTTGGGATTGAGCACAGGGTGACCCCATGTTTTCTTCTTTACCCTGTGATCACTGCTCCTAGCAGTGTGTGCTATGCATGAGAAGATGGGGGAGAAGTGAAGTGTCAGGGCCCAGCTCGCCCCCACCCCTATCCTGGAGGTCTTCACCTCCATGCTGGAGGTCCTCTACATCATTGCCAGCCCCAAGCCAACCCCTAAAGACGAGGAAAGGCTGTGGCACAGTGTGTACACCCCGATTACATCTCCAAACAGGAGGAACACACAATCGGTGGGATCCGCCTGCTTTCTAGCCCCTTTGTGCTCAGGGGCAGAAATACAAATAAGCCTCAATGTCTTTTTCCTGCTTATATGAAGTGAGATCCGTTTTTCAACAGCAGGCCCTGGCAGATAAGTATTCCCTTTTCTCGGTATTTGTTTTTTGGGAGCCTTTCACTGGCTCCCATGACACTCCCCTCCAGCACTCAGGAGGTGCAATGGGCAGGCAGGTAGAGCTGTGGCTGAGGGATGCTCCTACACCCACTGGAAGCTGGTGTTCCATGCCAACCCCACGTTAGCCTGTGCACAGGTAGCCCAGGGCACAGCAAGCTGCTACGGGTCTGTGCTTTTGCAGATAGATTAGTCCCAGGACCCTCCAGCAAGGGATTTGGTTGAAGCTTCTTGCCATGACCATAGGACAGGTGATGGTGTCCCTGTGCGTTCTCAGCTCAGCCGCTCAGCTGCCCCCGCAACAGGCCCATTTGCTTGGGTTGCCTCAGGGAGAACGGAACCATAAACCTTACGAGTGACTTTTCCTCCTAAATGAATTACATAACACAGGCATTGCTAACACCTCCTGTTGTTGCAGAAGGACCACAGAGACAGAAGTGGGTGGGAATGGCAACAATCCTCCCAACAAGCCCGGGCACCCACTGGCAGGAACCGTACCCGCCCTTCACCCACCGGGTACGTAACGTCAACGGGCCGCCCGAGACAGCAACCCAGAGCCCAGCTAAAGCCAAACACACAGGACACGAACAATTACTTTTCTTCTGCTCAAACTCACCAAAAGGAATATTTTTTTTAAAGCTGTTCTTTCCAAAACACACTAAGTGGCAAAGGCAGCCGAGGTGGTGGGCCCTGCACACAGCTCATAGGATGAAGATTCAGGTTTGAACCTTATCGTCTTATTGCACTTGGAGAATTTCCTAGGTAGTTTCCTGGGTATTTTTGAGGTTACTTCCTTATTGCTCTCTGAGTGAACTAGGTCAAAATGTTCGTCTTGTCTAAACCTTGGTTTGTCAATATATAAAATGAAGGCAACGGGACAAGTTGTTGCCTGCTTTTTCTCCCTGGAGTTTGACCTTATGAAAAAGCCATACAATGCCCCTCTCCATTAGAGCCAGGGAGGCCTTCAAAATCCCCAAATTCACAACAGCTGAGAAGTGCTGCACGGTGCTATAGGCGGCTCAAGTGCTGCACATGTGAAATGTGGAGAACAGCTAGGCTGATTAAAAAAAGACATGCGTGGGGTTGGGTAGCTTTTTGTCCTTAAGAGGAAAAAAAAAAGTGTATCATCTGTAATTGCTCCTTCTTGATCAGCCTGCCAGCTGCAGTAGGAATACCTTCGCAGATCACAGTATCTGAAAACTCACAAAGCTCTACGGGAAGAAAGAGATTCCACCACCCACTGTGCTGCATCCCAGATCTGGCCGTTTCTTCCTGAGATACCGTAGTGCATCCCAGCCTCGTTGGCCGCCACTCTACACACAACATCTGTTCACCTACACCGACCTTCTCCATCAAAAGCTGAGCATTTAAAACCACTGTAACATTCGGCGGTCCTACAGCACGCACTATGGGATCTGATGAAGGGAAAGCTACTGTGAACAGATAACAGACAGACATACAGATTGTCAAGTGTCTTTGAGTCTGAACTGATACACACGGCTATCAGGTATCCCTCAGCAAAAAGGGGCAGTCTACAGCACCATAGACAGGAAATATGAAGGTTTTTTGAAGACAGGCATTTTTCTGAATGTCTGCTTACAACAATGTTTTACTGCACGGTTAGCATGCAGGGTCAAATCTACCAACTAACAGCACCCAAGACATGAGGCTGATTCTTCTGAGACTCACTATATTTCAGTGTCTGCATTAAACATGGCAATAAACCTGGACCAATTTCAGTGTATGTTACACTGCATCGCACTCTCATACTATCTATAGCTTCCCATCCTTTCTCATATAATGAGATCCAGCAATCTGGATAGATTTTTTTTTTATTTCTGTGACTCCTTACTTTGTTTTTTCAGAATTTGGGGGTAATTTTGTCATCAGGTCGTTAAAAATGTATCCACAGTATTTTCAGGGGCAGAGATGACTGATTGTGACTTAGCAAGACCACTACAGGGAGACATAGGAAGAATGCTGTTGTCACAGCAGGATTGCCAGGACTGTTGTTTCCTATAGCATCCTTTGGCTGCCTTCCATTCTCTAAGTGCCCCTCCCCTGGCTCCTCCTTCTCAGTTGTCCCACCTATGGAGCTGTAGATCTTCTGTTTTATGGCCCTGCATGGGCCGTCTCCATGTTGTGATATCTTCACAAGTCATTAATACGACTTGCGTAGCCAGGCTGTGGTTCAATAGTGCAAGTCCTTTGAACCACATTCCTCAAGTCCACTTTTCTTCCCATTATCAGATTGGGACTGAATAAAGGCCAAGTGGAAAAATCTCAGCATGAAATGCACTCTTGCGGCTCACATCCACATAATGATTAAATTCAGAAAAGGTTTGGTAAGAGACCTGACTATATACTGGACTATGTGAATTGTTTGTTTTTAGTCTAGTTTGAAACAATTTCTGGTATCTCAGGGTCAAAGTCTCACTTTTCATAGGTAAACATTTTATAGGACTCATAGTAATGACACATCACTAGCCAGAATCGTAACCAGTTCTGCCTAAGCAGTTACCTTGGACAGAAAAACATTCAACCAGTGACTCTTGAGACATGAACTGGCTCTAGGCCTTCAAATGAGGACCATTTGCTACACTAACTATAGCAATTATAGAGCTGAGGCTGGGGATTTGAGACAGCAAAGCCACTTGAAGACATTAGGAAGGTCCCTCACTGCCTGTTGAGAAAAAAAAACAAAACACCAAACAACCAACAGCTAAATTTTGACAGTTTCAACACTTCTTTGCTTGATACAGTAGAATAAAAGAAAGTGTCATAGTGATGGCTGTAGTCATCTGAGGACAATGACCTTTGGCCACATCAGGTCCTTTAATGCACATGTGTGTCTTGCGCAGCGCTGAATAGAGCCCGTAGATACACGCATCCAGGGGCACTCCTGCTCACACGGCCCCCAGAGGGGTTTTGCAAACTGCTCATATGAACTGTTGCATTAAATTACATTTATCTTGAGTGCTCAGTAGCTCATCAGTTGACCTCTGGCTCTGATTCCTAATAACTAGAAGCATCTGACATAAAGCCCTTAGAGAAGGCACAGGGAAAGAAATAACTGTGCTAATTAAGCTATGCAAAGTGCCTTGGAGAAGAGTGCTCCACTTCAAGGATACCCTGACATTTCTGACCCATTACAAGTAGCAGCAGAAAAATTTCAGGAATTTAATGTGGAGTGTTTAATTGAGACATAGAGAAGAAATCAGTAGAATTTAAAAGTGATTTCTTCCTTACAGCTAAACCATATCAGTTCGGAAGACTTCGTAAATATTCTTAGCCACTAATGTGTCTTTATTTTGATTGTACAGGAGGTAAATCATCCTCATGATAGACACCATGTGCCCTGGCACATTTATGATCAATTCTTTGCTCACAGTGCAAATGCAAATGCAATAGTCCTATTGCCGTATCCTGCTTAGCACGTAAATACCTTTTTAAAAATTTATTTCCATCATTTGAACCTAAGGACACAGAGGAAAGTTTTGAATTTTACGTATGATAAATATTTCTGAGAGTGAACCTATAAAAATGCAGCCCATTTAATAACAAACTAAGTATCTTTCACATCCAAAAAACCTAACTTTCAGTATCCTCACAGAAAACATATATTGTTTTACCCATTTGAAAAACACGGTTAAACTGAGTTTTGAAAAAAAGAAAGTGATTTACCAAGGTCAAAATGCATGTTAGGTACAGAGCTGGGGAGATAAATCCTGATCCAGATTCCTAGTTTTTTGCCCTACCAGTTTGATGGTACTTCTTCCCTTGCCTACATTTAGGAACAGATTATCTGATGTTCCATTCAAATAAGAGGTGTTGAATGGGAGACAACTCTTCTTCCTAGGATGGTTTGGAGCCTCCCAGAAAAGTTTCTAGTTGTTCTTCAAATGAAAATGTGTGAATTATTATCTACTTTGAGTAACAATTTCATTAGTAGACAAAATTCAAGCCTTCTCTATTGTAAAATAGCTCTCTTCTTTAATTTACCCTATAATCTGCTATCTGACATCTGTCTTCACCCAGATTCACCATGTCACTGAAAAGTGTCAGAGTACCCCTTTTTATAACTGTAAAGGTGAGCTCAGAGCACATCCCATTCTCTGTATAACTGGGAATTCAGAGTTTAGTTCATAGTCATCACACGTGTCAAACTGGGATAGCCTTTCCATACCTCTCCATGTTGATGAAGATTAAATGAACTGGGTATGGTAAATCCAGGAGGGTCACAACTAATAAAAGTCCTTCCCATCCAGGTGGTTTTATTCAGTGTCTGGAAAAAGACATGAATGGATCAAGTCTCTCTAGACACATTTCTTAGTTTTTCCTGTTAGTGGGAACATCGAGGACTGGATATGCAATGTCCTAACACTCCACGTTGTGTCTCCAGCTATATTTAGCCAATATACCTGGGAAACAACTTGCTACTGCTAGTAGCTGAAAGAATTAGAGTGGAAATGACTGATGAACCTAAGAAGAATCAGAATAAAGACAGCTTACAGTTACAGCATTTTCTCATTCTGACCTCCTAACCAGAGCAGTCTCCTGCAGAGAGAGAAATCTAGATCCCATTGAATGGGAGAAAGTTGACTGGGAAAGGCAGCAGCATCCCTTTGATGGCAGAGCCAAGGGAGAAAACTATCTAACTTTCCGTTGCAAAGTTTCCACTGGGCCAAAAACAAAACAAGCATTCAGTTTGGTTACGCTTGAGGCTGGCTTTTTAAATACTTATCTTGGCCTCCTATTCTTTCTCCAGTTCTGGATGCTGTGTGCTGTGCCCTTGTGCCTTCAATGCTCTCTTTGGCCACGCAGCCTGGCCTGGGGAAATCTCTGTGCTCTGACTTGTGCTGCTCCGCATTTCCTAATGGTCTCCTGTGCTGGCCTAGGCTGCCTTATAGGGTAATAAGCTATTTGCAGGTTTAATACGATAAGAAACAAGAAAGAATATATTTTTGTTGTTTTATTTACACACAGAGCAATGTAACTGGCTCTGTCTCAGTCCTGAGCTATTAATAAAGTCCATGTGAGGAATACACAAATTTACACCACTTGTGGAACCTGTCGACATAACTAGTCTCTAGCTAGAATATTTTCCATGCCATGTATCTCCATATAGCCCGTCTTTCTGGGACATGTGACCCAGAAATGTGTCATCAGGACACATGTAGTCACTGGACTGATGAAAGGAATTCAAGGGAAACAGGAGCAACAATGCTGCTTCTTCCAACCTCCCATTAGCTTGTTGCTACTGCTCTCTGAAAAAATTAGTGAGACATGAAAAAGATGTTGTTGTCCCAACTTGGCCCTTGTTTTACCTTTCATACAGCAGGCTTTTACGTAAGGCTATATTTTCCCAGATATTATTAAGGAAAAGGAACTAGAAATCCACAGCTGTCAGTTTTTAAAAGCAAATAATCACTCCCACGCAATGGCTGAAAGGCAAACTTGTACCTAAAGACTTTCAACTGGCACCTCTGACATGTTTCATTGTCTAATCAAAGTGTTAAAAATAAAAATAAACAGAGCCCACAAAGAGAAAAATCCACGGGATTTTAACATTCTTTCACAATTCATAACCAAAGCTGCGGTCAGCAACATGGAGCGAGAAAGACGTTTGGTTATAAGTCATGACTTTAATCAGACAGTCTCACTGGCGTCTCATGGAAACCTTCCAAATTAAATGGACATACAAATCAGAGACATTCAGACTAAAGATGAAACATCACAAATAAGCTCTTTTGTCTGGAATAAATAGAACCAAAACAGTCAAATGCTCAGGAAGATAACTGATACAACATTGTTCCCTTGGGCATCTTTGTTAGTGATTAACCCAGCATGTTTTAAATGCCTAAAACAATGAAACTTAGTGGACAAGCTATTCTAGTCCTCTGGGCATGAACTGTCCTCCTAATCTGTGCTCACCAGGTCTCCCCACAGCCACATCCTTCTAACGCCCCACTTCTTCCTTCCAGCCTCCAGCTGGTGACTCACTCTATTTAATCAGTGCAGCCATCAGGATATTCACCTACCAAATCAGAGCAACCCTTGATCCCGCTGCTGTGACCACTGCTGAGCCTATTCCCAATTTTTGTTTATTACTTTGACTCATTGCGCCAAATCTAAACTTAGACTGTCAGCACTTTGGGGGAAAGCTCCTGTCACCCATGGCACAAAGCCCCCCCATCACACAGTCTATGCACACCTTACGTAAGCCTAAGTGTCTTAACTGTCCAAAGGGATGAAGGAAAGAAAGGACCACAGTCCTCGGGCCTGATTAGATCCGAAATCAAGGGTAAAACTTCCACTGGCATCAACAGTGCTGGATCAGCCGGGAAGGGACTGATCCTGAAGGTCCTGCTAACTGCCTCTTGAAGGCTCTGCATCTTCTCTATAGGGAGGGATTTCATCTTCGAGATTAAAGTACTAAAGCCAACAAACCATTTTAACGAGAATGGTGAAACTCCTCCAGCAACATTTGTTAGAAAGTTACCTGTCATGAAGGACATGCAGCATTAAGGACTCTTGAGATCATGGGTCACCAGAGGGTATTTTATCTTTCTCTGTATTTTCTCCAGAAAGAATAAAGGATGCAGAAGATAAAAAATGAGATTATGTCACAACAGAGGAATGTCTCTATTTATAGGAAGATAAGCCTTTTCCACTGAAGTCAAGTAATCTTCAAAAGATGAGTATAAGCTGCATTGCCATGCACTCTACAGAGTTTTACACAGTCTCTCCACTTCCTTGTCAATATTACCCTTGCACTTTATGTAAAAAACCTCCACTATATATTACATTATACAGCTCAGCTGATCTTAACATCCCCTCCAAGCCCAGTTACTAATTAGAAAAAGGAAGAATGTCAATGTAAGTGGTAGGACTTTTGATTATGTCAGACAGACAATGGATACTTTAACAAAGAAAATAGTCAAATCACATCTTGGACATAGCGTTTGATTATCTACGGATGGATTATCTGAGCCACGGATTGGACCCACTCTGTCTTTCCCCTACAGCTTCAGCTGCATCACAGCCAGGACACAAACTCACACCTGCTGACAGTTTCCTGGTGCCTGAGGTTACCCCTGTGCTATAAGGAGCTGCACTTACCACATTTTAAAAGATGAACACACTGAGTGGTCCCTGTCTCCCTGGCACACGTTTTGTACTAGCTGTGGGTAATCTCCCCCCTCTCTCTTCCTGCCCTTCTTCCTCATCTGGATAACTGGCTGCAGACCTTCTCTGAAGGAGTAGTTTTGGTAGTCATCACAGGGGTGCATTATGAAAGAAGGAACTCAATCGTACTGATATCTTAATTATAAAAACAGAAAGGCCATGTAACACACAGTTTCTGCCTTCCAGACCCCTGTATTTCAGATCTTGTTCTGCATCCAGCAGTCAACCTGAGACTTCTACACGGGCCAGGTTCCCTCCTCTGCAGAGTTCATAAGCCCAAGGTCCATCAGGAGGAAATCCTCACTTCAAACATGGATTTCTGTGAATTTTGATGATGCAGAAATGTATCAAAGCAGCAGTCTGGAGAAAAGACGGGTATGGGCAGCAGTGACCTCCAGTTCTCTTTGTAAATGTCCTGTTGCAAAGGTGCTCTATTTGTATTTATGTCGATAAGTAACAGAGAGGCTCCAGGGTACTAAGGCACTTTTTGGGTTCTATAGCAGTAGCAACTCCTTGGTCTGTGGGGTGGAGCTGGGAGCCTTAGGCTAAAAAAACTGGCTGGTCACTATCCAGACGGCAAGGATTTCAAAACATATGGGACCCATGGGCTGGATCTACCCACTTGCAACACATTGCTTTCTCCCTATGCCATCTACTCCCTTCCAAAAATCCCACAATTGCTTTTACTGCAACTTAGCTCAGCTCCCTTCTCTGAAAGGAAAACACACAGCACTTCTGGACCATATCTGATATAATGATTCTCTTAAGAGTTTCCAAACTCCCCTTTAACCATAACCCAGGGAATCAGCAGACAGAAATCCCACTGACCTGCAGAAACATCTTCCCCACGCTGTATTCACAGGTATCCAGAGAGAAAGAGAGCACACACACCTCAGGATGCAGGATCCGACCCAGAGACACCTAGAAAGAGTCAAGAAGGAGACACCAGGAACATCTTAGACCTGAGGAATTAACCTGTTTCATTGGAACTGAACAAGAACCTCAGCCCATACAGGCAAGTTTAACAACAAAAGCATATTTTTGCATTATTTATCCAACAACATAAAGATACATCACATTATTTCAGAATATCTATTCTTAGCTATATCATCCTCTATGGGAGAAGCAAGGCTTGTAGTCACTTGGCAATAACAGCAGGTGAAGAGTTGGTAGAAAATGCACATCTAAGAGTTATTAGTTAATAGCAGACCCTTTCCATGTTAGGTTATACTTTTCTGCCTCTGATAAAATTGTTTCCTCTGTTAGGCTGTTATTTACCTGAGATTTGCTTATTTACTTAGCTGTACTGTCAGGTACACAAGGGGTTGTACTTATCTTTCTACTGGATGCAGTTGCTGGGAGCTCCCAAACAAAAGTGCCCTCTGTATCAGCTACCACACATTCAGCTCGGGACTGTGACTTCTCTGAAATATCTAGTGATATAAATTCTTGGAACAGAGAGGGATGGAGACTTGTGCCATACACATGGGAGCATGGCTACACAGAGATAATACACATCAGCTTCAGGAGACTCATAACAGCAATTTTTTTTCATTGCTTTCATCATCTAAATGTCTATATATGGGGTGTTACTGGAAATCATGTGACTTCCTTAAGCTTAGCTTCCCCTGCTTGTAAACATGTGCAGGAATCTCACTTTCTGATTGCTGGAAACTAAAAGTAAGGTACTTCTCAGTAAACTTTTGCTCTACAAAAGAATTTATGTTTATGAAAATCATTTTCTTAACTTATGCTAATCTTCTAAGACTGCAGTATTCAGCCATAACCTTCCTTTACAAAGCTTGGACACGCTGGCACAAAGGTATGAAATTTCATGAATTTCCTTTTTTCTGATGACACTGTCATCAACAACAGCAAAAAATACATAAATGAAATTATAATAATTAACTGCACTCAGCTGCATTTTCTCGGAGAATTTCCACATGCTCAGAGTGTGGGAAAACTGACTCATTCTTTATGAGGGGAGCACGGTATAAATCCTGCTAATTATTTGTGCTGAAAGTGGTATCTCCAATTCATTTATTATATGAGTTACAGGGCTCTGGTGCTTTCTCAGTAAAGTGCCATTAATATTGCAGCTGGCTACGCTACAAACACTTTGCAAATCTTGAAAAATCGTGTTTCAGATTGGGTGGAAATACTTTAAATATATTTTTGTTCAACATATTTTAGCATTTCTTTGAACATACTCCCCCGTCAAATGAAACCATCTCAGCAGCTCCAGCAGGACAAAAAAGAAAGCCACAGCTGCAGCTGGAATTCAGAAATAGATATTATGCAGCACCAAGAAATACTGTGTGTTGTTAAAGGATTCTTTGAAGGAACACAGGACTGGAAGGGACTCCCCTGCCATTTATCAATCCCCCATTGTCAAGGGCCAAGTTCCAGGATAACTCTCAGAACTAGCTAACAGGTTGTTAATTAGTAGTCACTATTGTATAAAAATAGAAACAAGGGAATAACAAAGCAACAGAAAAGTATGACACACGGTAGACCCCACCCAGACCATTTCACAGATGGTCTCTGTGTTGGGAATACTGCCCATGCCTCAATCTGCCATGAGCCTGCCCACTTCCACCACTGGACCAGCTGCAGCAGAAAAATCTCTATGTAGCAGTATATGTTTGTATGAACAAAGAAAAGATGGCAATATACAGGGAAGAGGAAAGGAGAAGGGAGCTGAGGAAAGCAGCTCATGAGATGTCACATATTACATCAAGCTTGAAAGAACTTGTCAAGGCCTTATCTTGCTATAGATCAGTTGCTGTAGTTAGCTGAGCTGCTCCACCTTTCCGATAAACTAAAATGAATCCCGTTTAATTTCAGTGCCATTCATATCCAGACTTAAGTGCATGTCTGGCTGTCTCTAGGATATACATTAGGAAACTAATGGAAAGCACCTGATAGCATCGGTCAGATAAGATGGCTGATGTTCCCTCTACAGTCCAAGACGTTGTAAAAATACAAAATAATATTTTGGGTTGAGATGACTCAGAAATCAGCATCAACTTGCCAACTTGGAAGGCCCTAGGATGTTTGCTTCAAATAGTATCTTGGTAACAAATTCGTATGCCACATTCACATACACAAATCCATACATAATGAGATTAAAAGGTCACAGGCTCCTTAGGAGAAGCTCTGTTAATACTGAAATACAAAAAAAAAAAGTCTGCTGCCTACAAACAGAAAACTTATAATCCAAAGGCACTTCATTAAGTGAATTGATCTGTTTCTACAGCTATGCTCCATAACAGCCTGTAGCAAAAGGACCCCCTTGGGTTTTTTTATGCTTTTTATCTGGCATTTTTATCATGCCTGGCTTTCAACTGGCAGCATTACATTCTGGGTCAAGGACTTATTCTGAAGACTTACAAATTTTGGGTAGGCTGAAAACAGGGGTGATTTTTGTCCAGGAAAAGTTCCCTTTGGTATCTAGGAGCTCCGTTAGGAGGACAGGAATGAGCCTTTACATTATGTATCCTCAACCAACATGTGAACCTGATAACAGCTTGTTTTAAGGGTACCATCAGAGAGACAAGCTCTATAGTCAACAGTAACAGGAAAAATCAAGACTAGGAGTAGTTAGACTGCATGTGAGAATCAAAAATTCATGCTAGTCCTCTTGAAACATTTCCCTGCAAAGAGGATGCCATATACCTTGAGATATTTATAGATAGCATCAAAGAAAAAAACCAAACAAATCTACTAACAGAAGCACATTGGAGGTTAAGTGTACTTAAAGAGGTGGTCAGCTATAGGGCTGGATTATTGCTATACTAAAGCCGCCAATCACTTGAATCATGACACAAGCTGGCCATGAATATCCTGTAATATGCTGCTGGCCCCTTTCTTTACCTCGCATAGTCACTAGTCATATGTGAAAACTATGACAATTTCAAGCATCATGATGAGATCTGTACTTTTTTTCCCATGGGTTATTTTGCAGACTGGAAAATTATATTTGGGGAAGTGTTTGGGAAACTAAAGTCACATGCTTTAATATGAAAAACCAGCCTGCCTGAATCTATATATTCTGAGTTCAGCACTAACAGAAGTTATCAGTTTCTTACAAGAAAACATAGTATGCTTTGGAAGTTAAAACAACTTCCACATGATCAGAGCAGAAACCTCATACTTAATTTTTGTGCATTTGACACGAAATACAGAAACCTCTGATTTCAAGTTCAGCATGTTTCAATGGATTCCAAATAGCCTTAAGGGCAACTCCAAAACTAAAGTTAATTATGAAAATAAAACCTCGAATGTCTCAAACCAACCAAAGGCTTGGTTTAACCCTGAAAAGAAACTTGTGGAGACTGGTCCAGGCTGGATCAACAGAACCGGAGATATGGGCTGGTTCTGCACCAATCTGATCATGTCTGAAGCATGTCTGGGAACAATCTCTATGGCTTGCACTTCAGAAATGTGCACATCAAAGCCTTAACTGAGGCTTACCTACAAATTCAGTCTGGACCATCCTACAGAATTAGGTGCCTTTGAAAGCAAAGCTCTCTGGGCCCTTGACATAGAGGCCTGAAGATTAGGCATCACTTGCTTGACCAATTAGCTGCTATTCGAAGCTGTACAGGCTTAGCATAGATTTAGTCATGAAAAAATTCACAGTCTTTGTCTGGCTAGAAACAAGCAGCAGCAGAGACTTTCCTTGCATAGAAGTCCCTAGATGTGCCCCACCAGTGGGTTTAAAGCTCAAGAAACCCTACCTCTGCTTGCTCTCAGGGTCTCGCTCACACCACCGTCTCGTGGCTTCCTCTCTCTCTCTAGCATCTGTGGGTCAATATTTTAGTCCCTGTAACAGTATCTGGGGCAAACAGGCAACTTGGTTCTGCCTTGCCCTGTGCCCAGCACTGGCTCAGGACACCTTACTCAGTGCTGGAGCAGGATCAGTCTCTCCATCTTTGAATCCGAAAGACAACACCCAGGAAAACTGGCTGCAAAAACCTCCCTGTCTGTGAATACCTCTCAACATAACACTATTAAATAAATACCATTCAATGGTGTTGACTTTACTTCTGCACGTAGCCACCGTTAGGTATTGCACCACACAGACCTAATGTTTGCTTTTCAGTGATCGTCTGTGTTGGTTTATCAACTTCCAGGCCCATTTTCTACCCCTGACTTGCACCTGTGTTATTGTTATACTCCCTCCAAATTGCCCAAAATCTATTGCTTGTCTTCTCCATGCCTTGGGATTGTTCAAGATAGCCATTTTGTGGTGCTGATGCTCCTCTTGTACTGATGCTAGTTTGGTATTATAAAAGCCCACCTGAATCACCAGCACTTTGTTTATTTTCTGTGGTTTCCAGAAGAGAGTTCAGCAGATTTCCACAAACCTCAGAGGCTTGACTACAAAGAGACTTATACTGCAGAGTCCCAGACACGGGAGGTGTGGTAGCAATCTGATGTTCACAAGGTGGTTCTCTGGGGCTTTCCAAGAAATCGGGCTCCCATCAGCCACTGAGGCACTACAAGTCCCCAGTTTGGGTTGAACATTTACACCACTAACAACCACTTACTACTGCTGACATGAAAAATTTCCAGTATTCAACATTTAAAGACCTTTACCAAACATTCCCAAAACTTAAAATGTTTTCCTTATTAATAATGACAATATATAAAATTAGTATCATAAGTTACAATAAGACCAAAAAATTACTTTTTTCATAGTATGAGTATTATAAAGTAAGCCACTGAAGCTCCTGATAAGAGTGGTTTACTCTTAACACATTTAAATTCAGGGCCTAGCTTTAGTAGCTTTTGAAACACAAGGATGCTAAAAGAGGCCATTTGGAAACTCACTCAAAGGCAACTACCTTATTTCTGTGTATACCTTAGCTCTACAGACCTTACTCTGACCACACATTAATTCCTCCAAAACCTATCCACACCAAGGTATCCAGCTCATCACTAGGGGCTTCTCACAGAAGAGAAGCATAAGCATGTTCCTCAAACCTCTTGGGAGAGGAATTTGACCTTCCAAGTTAGACTCTAAAATGTCACTACAACCTTAAAAAGCCTCCCTCCTTTCTCATCAACGCTGTTGAATCTTATTTTTGGTTAGCAGATCCTGTTTCCCACAGACCTGCCTCTCCTCCCCTTCTCCTTGTCCCACATCCTTCCCTCCAGAGCTTTCCTTGCTCCCATCTCCCTAATCATCTTGGGCGCATTTCCAGAGATCTACTTTTAAAACCAGTATGCTATAAACAGGCTAGGCTTGTCAGCTTTAAAACTTGCTCGAGTTACTGTTTTTGAGGTAGGAGAGGGGAAAAGGGGTATTCCAAGGGGACCCCCTTGACATGACCATTCATCTGCCTAAATCAGCAGTTCCCAAGCTTGTTGGCTTGCAACCTCATTTCCGGGCTCGTGACCTCTCTTCCATCAGCACTCTTTGGGGTTGCGACCCTAACTTTGGAAACTTCTTGTCTGAATCAGTCAAAAGTGACGCCTCAAGAATAATTTTCCAGTCGGTGCCATGTTTGTTTATGCTCCTGAGTGGCGTGATTACCCTGAAGTTCAGGTTCAAACTTGTCTCTTTGCTTGTTTGTAAGTCTGGAAAGAATTTCTGGGTGTCACTCAGCCAGCAGATAGTGAACTTTGTAACTTTTGACTGTTCTGGTTAGGACACTTATATCCCAACTGACCTGGTATGGCATTAAGCACTTGGCTGCAAAGTTCAGCTGTGCCTGGATGAAACAGGGATTTTGTTTCTCTGCAAGGTCTGGAAACATCATTGTTTTTCCTATTTGCATGTCACGATCATTCAGTTACTACCCCCAAATCACTCCTTATACAGTAACATGGTTTCATCTACCACATTGTGCATCCTCACGCACACAACTGGATGAGCTCTCAGAGCCGCTTTGCTGCATGTCGGTTTGTCTGTCTCTTTACAGTCATTGAGAATGTGTGGTTAGTGAAAACTTTAACATTCAGATTTCTAACTCTGTCGTCTTTGCTCACTGATAAAAGGGCGTGTGTGGGAAAAATCAATGACAAAGTGGTCTGAACAGGTCTTGAAAACACAATTAAAAATGCTAAACTTTCAGAACATTCGCAGTTTGGATGTGCTAGCTAGTCCTGCTTTGGAATTTCTCTGGAATTAAAATAATTGGGAACTTTTCAGCTACCTGCTTTCTCTTATTTTCACATCATATCCTTACTCAGTCTACACGTCTCTGTAAAGGTGGTTCTGCATTAAAGGCCAGATCCTTTAGCTTTGCTGCCCACAGAATGTCTCTCACATGCTACTCTCTTACTCTAAGCCTAAAGCAGTTGTTTAACTTTTTGTTTGACCTCAGTGTATTTCAGTGTTACTGTTTTTCAATTTGAACAGCCAAGAGATATCTGCCTAGACACACCAGGGTGGAATTTGGGGAATGTAAAGTGGAAGCTTAGCAGTAGTTGCAGCACCTGGGAGCAGCCAGCCTTCATACCTGCCTTTGGAAAACACAGAATATGAATCTCGAGTCCAGGAGGAACCAGTTCATATGAATCTCTGAAAGGACCCACCACCACGCAGTTGAGGGGATCAAGTTACTGAAGACCAGTGGAAGAGACAGAGAGGAGAAAGATATTTGGGTTCTGTGGCTTTGCACCACTCAGGCACATGTGAGTACACGAGGCAGTTGGGTACAACCCCTTTTTGCAATTATTCAGTCCCCATATGAGGTTTAACATCTGACTTTGGTTGCTGCCAATAAAAGAAATTAGGCTGAAAATGTTTCAGCACGAAAGGCAGCCACTGGAGCCAACATCAGGGCTTCTCTTTCCCTCAACATGAGGGCAAAGCCCCACAGCCTGGCAGTGCAGGCCAACCAGTGAGGAAAATGAAGTCATGTTCTGTTAGAATGAAACTTGCTGAAGTTTCAGGAGAAGTTTCTGTTTGGGCCTGTAACGGTTTGCATGAGACCATTGCTTCTTTGCTACTATACAGCACTTTCGGAAGGGTTGCTGATCCCTGATGAATTGCAAATGGCTTTCTCTTTCTTCCTGTCTTTTGTTGACACACTGTGCTTACAAGAGTGCACCAAGGTCAGGTTTGCCTTCTGCCTTTTTCTTGTGCCATTATGAATTGGAAAACTGGTGGAGATGTTAAAGCGATCAGGCTCAAGAAGCTGGTGTGGCACTGCTACGCAGTTAAGTATACTCTGAAAAATCTGCCCAAGACTTCTCCAATTTCAGCCAGGGAGGTTCAGATGGACAGGAGATTTCAGGTTTGTGGGGAGTTGTCTGGTTGTGGTTGGATTTTGCCTTTAAAAAAAATTAAAAATTGGATTTTCTTCAGCTGGAATGGAATTAAAAATATTGCCAGAGAGGATGGAACATTGGACAGATCCCAAATCTGCAGATACTAATCCAACCTAATAAGAAAATGTGTGTCTTTATGAATAGTGTTCTACAAAAGGGAAGAACTGTACTGTTAAACGGAAAAGAGATACCAAAATCAAAATAATCTTATTCATCCTGGTAATGCACATTAAAGAAGGATTGCTAGTCCCCAACTCTGCATAGACTAGATGGAATTCAGTAAAACAAAGCAGGCGGACAACTGAGATTTTGACCAGTATGGGAAATTAATCCTTCCTTTGAAGAAAAGGCACTCTATCAAAGGTTCAGGGCTGAAAAACTAATTGCACCACAGCCACTGTAGCTATATAGCATTTGTATAATCAGGTTAGACTCCCTTTTGGTTGATCAAACACAGGCTCTTGTTTCAGTGGTGTATGGAAGCACACTTTGAAGTGCAGATTTCATATCTGAGTGAAGTTCTCATGTACAGGTGCACATTTGTAAAACATCCAGGAATATACGAAGGGGCCTTTTAAGAAAGGCTCTCCCAGCTTGGAACAGAGATTCTTCTCTTGAAGATGACAAGACCATTCAGCTAATGTTTGGTCTCTTCCTGCTTGATCCGAAGAAACCAAACAGCATGTGGAAGTGTTGGAAGGTGGTAGATTCAACCTTGTCAATGATACATTCTGGATTTTTTTCTAGTAGTAAGGTCATATGCTTTATCAATCCACTAGAATATGATGCTGGCAAATATTTTTTAGAAAAAGTGGCTGTCAAAGGATAAGAAAGTGAAATTTACCTAGATCTCCCATCATAGCTTTCAAAGACATAGTGATTCATGTAATTAAACATCCACAGGTCTCTCCTGCTGCTGCCAGCATAGACAAGCAGATGCCTTCAATATATGTTTCAGACTTCAGGGTATCAGAAGGCCTACCCTTAAAAAAAAAAATAATTTGGGGAACATATGTAAAAGATGAAAGTGCTTTTTTTTAAAAAAAGAGAAACCTTGCATGTAATCATGTACACCGCCACAAAGCATGGGATGAAGAAAAAGTCTGAAGTGAGCTCTTCTGGCCACTCCAATAGTCCTCCCAGAGACACGAGCGTTGAGCTGCCATGTCTTAGTAGGGCTCCTGTGTGATAGTCCATGTGTCAAAGGAAAAGGATCTCAACAAAGTAAGATATTTGTGAAACTGAAAAATCCATGTTGTCCTCAAAAGGAGAAGATGAACTTTTTGAAAAAACAAGGATGTAAAAGGAATAACTCACTAGTTTTTTACTTCTTGCCCTTCATTGGCATATTATTCCCTAAACCAGCCCAGCAGAAAACAGACACACGGAAAAGGAGTGCAAGTAGGCATCAGCATGAGAGCAGCGAGTCTTACTCCACCAATTCTCAAAGTAAGACCTTTAACGATATTATATGATGATAAAGATTGCATCAGAGACACCAAATCTACAATTCCAAAGATAGAAAAGTTTTGTCCGCATCTGGGAAATGACTGTGATCCTACAAACTGGGAGCCTGATGAAATTAAGACAACTTTCTTTGAAGGTGCTGAAAGGCATGAATGCCAAAAGATGACCAGGGAACCTGAAACTAGCAGCGCACAAGACTATATGAATCAACAGAACAGCCCAGTGACACCGGTATGAAGCAGTCAGGGGCAAAAAAACAAGAAGAGACCACAGGCCATGGGTATTTAAACATGTTTACATTCAGTGTAGCATTATCCATGTGTCTTGCACAAAAGTGGAACTTATTTCTGTGCATTACCCTTGAGGAACACTGCAATATTGCCTTATGACATGATACTCACGAGATGGGGACTTCTCTAAATTAAGTGCTTTCTAACACTGGATAGTCTTTCAGACTTGCTTTTTTAGTGGATGCTTTTTTAAATAGCTTACTGTCCAGTGACTTGGAGTCACATGTTTGTGCCACTGATCATTCAAAGAGTATTTCACAAATTCTTTGGGAAAATACTCAGACTTGCCTAGATAAATAGCAGAGCGATGCCTGTCTCGGAAACTCCCTTCTCTGCCTAGAACAAACTGAAGACAGGGGGAGATGTTTCCACAGTCAGCACCAGAGCTAAGACTAAGGAGTGAAAGGTGCTCACCTGGAAGTTTGAGCTCCAGGGCTATCGCTAACAAACAGAACAGCCAGAAAAAGTGCTCAGTGGATTGCCAGAAGTAAAGATATTCACAAGGTGAGGGTGCAGAATTGGAAGAGAGGGCTGGGTTTATACCTGGCCAGCTCCTGTTTCTTTCAAGAAATGCATCTCCGTAGAAGAGGCCACAGAGACGTGTCAGGGGACGCAGATTGACCAGACAGACAGGAACAGACACAGCCAGAGCTAAACTCAAGAGGGTGGCAGAAACTGCTGGGTGGGCTCAGTCAGTGTTTGGGAAGAGCAGCAGGGACTCCCCTTGCCCCTGGCTAATGCCTGGCTGTGCCCCGAGGGTGTGAAAGCAGCTCACAGCAATGGGATCCAAGTGAGCTGCACTGATGTGCTTTTAGATCTCAGGCTTTATTAATTCCTAGATTTATGTGTCACTGGTCTAGGAGCATCCATGTACCTGTGGAAAGGCAGTTCCCTATTCCCAGCTATCGTAGTTGCATATGCATAGCAAGGATAGAAAGGGGGGGGCACTGCATTTTTAGAGAGACAAAGTGATTTTTGAATCCTTCAGGTCCCTTCCTTTTCTCTGGCATTAACTAGGGCACCTTGAAGACAGCTCTGAGATGTGCTCTCTTTCCCAGTGCCCACGATGGGCCCCACTGTGGTGCATTCAGTATGTCTCATTTGCAGTGTCCCCATGCAAGGGTTGAAAGGGGTACACAAAGTAGGTTGTCCTTGCCTCTCCTGCACCTTTTCTACAGCATATGAGACACTAAGAGTCCTGCCCCAAGAGCAACTGAGAAGTTAGTGAAATAAACTGGCCAGTAAAGTGATTGGAAAGTCTGATGCCTAAAAGTGCAAATCTTGCAGGAAAAATCATCCCTGGAAGGAACCTACATGCCTTCAGTTATGTCCAACACCACCACAGGCCTCAAGAAAATACTCCAGAAGGTGCTAGGTATTCACTAGCACGAATGAAATCTTTTCTACTGAGTCCTGCACAGCAAGTTGCCACAGAACTAAACCCCAAAATGCTTTGACAGGGCTGACCATGCAGCCATCTGCCATGCACCACTGAGGCCTGGCAGCCTTCATCTCCTCCACCTCGGGAATCACTGCGTAGGTGGCCTGACTCATTCTCTCAGGTGTACCTGATGGACTTAAAAGAGGATTTAGGCATCCAGAATTAGGCCTCAAAACTTCATTGAACTTGTAGGGCACAGGGAAATGGTGCGAGCAGCCCGTCTCCCTGCTGTCCAAATGTGAGAGAAGATACAATGGAGGGGAGTGAGTTCTAATGCACAATTGGAAGCTGTTGTGAAATTCCTCACGGAAACAACTGATCTTTTTTATTTATCACAAATTTGCTAAGTAAGGTTAATACCCTGCCATTGACCCTGCCTCGTATGCCCTTAGTAATACTACCATGCTTTGTCCCATTAAGGTTTTACGGCAGAAGAGATAACACGCGGTCGATAACCCATTATAAACAGGTACTTTTCTTCTTCTCCCCCTCCCCACAGCCCCCATCCTGTTGTGGCAGAGAAGATAACGCTTCAGCCAGAGAACTTGTTTCCAATGTCAGCCTGTAACCAGCTTATGCCTGAAGAAAAAGAGACTGATCAGCCATTGTGGTCTTTATCCTGGCAGCTGAATAGCCTGCGTGAATATCAACATTATCATAAATCACTCAATTGCTGAAAGTCATCTTCCCCTCAGAAGGAGCTGAATAGCAACCGTTTCTAAATCCTTATGTACATCCATTTACAGCAGCTGAGCTGTGGGAGTACACAGACCTATTTTTCAGCTAGCATGATAATCAAGCCATTCCTCATTTAAGAGTGAATTCATTTGCCTTGGTATTAGTCCCAAATAATAGTTCAGGAAATTGATATGTAATCTCCAACTAAAACTTAGATTAAGATGAGGCCACCAAACTCCTTTATTCCTTAAAACACATTTAAAGCCCCCAGCCAGACTCTCATCTTGGTGTGAATCCAAACATACTGTATTATATTTAAAAGCCACTGCTTTAAACTGGGGGTTCTCAGTAGCCCCAGTCTAGCCATAAAGATCAGAATCTGTCCTTAATATCCCTGCACACTGGTACTGTGCAGAACTAGCTCCAGAGTATTTATAGCTCACACTATATATACACACCACAGCTTCTAAAAGCATATTTTATCTTTTGGGAGGACAATGCTTTCAGAAATGTAATAAAAGGAAAAGTTTTGCTAAAAAAAAAAAAAAAAAAAAATCTAAAAATCTGCTCAAACCCTTAACCTGGAAGAGTGGCCTCATGCTGCCAATCAGATAATAAGCTTAATTATTACATCACACTTTATTTGTAGCTCACTGTGTAGTTAATGGTTGCAGCTTATCTAACAGGAGAAATGTGAAACCAGAGTTTTAGAACAATAGAAACAAGGCTGTCACCAGCAGGCTGCCAATGAATCACGTCCCCGCAGTCAAGTTCCCCCAGAAGGTCATTTGTAACAGAAATACATCTCCTCCTAGAGCTGGTAAAATGCTGAAAAGTGTTTCTCAGTTTTACCCTAACAAAATATCAAGCAGATCAATTACCAGAACAACTTCACCTGTTTGTATTTTTATTTTCTGTCGATTGCAAGATTTAATAGTAAAGGTTACTTAATAGCAATAGTAAAGTTACTTAATGGTAAAGTAAGCAGGCCTGCTTGGTTCTGTGTCTGGGATTCGAGATGTGGTTTTACCTTCACCCTAAATTCAATGTATCTAAACTCCAAGCTTTTATAAGCCTTAAGAGAAAAGTGATTCACTGTTCTCTTTCACATTTTCAAAAAAAAAAAAAGAAAAAATTATTTTTAAACACGAAGTAACTTTCTTCCATACCATTCAAAACTGAAACCCTGAAACCACTGAAAGACAGTGAGTTCTGTAAAAAGGGTTCGCCAAGAAACAGAAAACAGCTCTGACACTTTCGTGTCCAGAAAGATATGCAGAAAAAGGACAAGGAAGTGCAAAAGAAAAATCAGGTACTACCCGTGCCATAAATATGGAAGCCGGTTTTGCTCATACATAATAATTTTAAAGTAACTGCTCTGTCTGCAGCTTAAAGAGAAAAAAAAAAAAAAAAATCTCTTCTGCTGCACTTGCAAAAGAGCTCCAGATTTTCTGCAAGAGGGAAAAGAACAGATGATGGGGGGAGCTATTCTTTTAAGACGAATGTCATTGGCACAAACAGCTGGCAGTTGGTGGCGTATTATTTATATGTGCAGTTGCTCATGTTTTTTAACAGATAAGAAAGCAGTATCTCATTTGCAATTCAGGTGAGGCACATGAGTGGCTCTACAGCGCCACTAGCCCCTAGGCCATGTTTCTTATCATATCAGAAACATCTGTCACGGTGCAAATGAATTCATTATAAAAGCACATCAAATATGCAGTTTCAGGATGAGACAGCAGTCTGCAACGAAACCAAAAAACCAGCCTCCCCCTGTAAAAGCTGGGATGGTCTGTCCCATATTCACCAGCTGGGAGGAGGGCAAGCCCTGGGAGGGGTAAGAGGGGGAAAAAAAAAAGAGAGAGAAACCTTGGAAATGTCATTATTATAAATTATCCCTTCTCTAGGAGCCGACTGTGCCTGAGAACGGGCTTGCTCACAAGGGTCTGGTGGTTCACACAGAGCGTGCAGACAGGCTGCAAAGTGATTATCACATCACTCCATGCCGAGTCCTCTGCTCCTCTGGGCTGCAAACAGACCTCACTAATCCTGGTCTTTGGGGTCCAGAGGCCTTTGCTTGACAAAATACCTATAGACTGGGGTAGAAAAGGTACATGGGAAGGTAGTCAGCATGGGAGTTACCATTAGAAGTGCACTTGTGTGGGCACCATGGTCAGAGATGGAAATGAATCCATTTTAAGGGCAGCTGATGGTAAGATGATAGGAGCTTCCACTTCCAGGGAACGCAAGGTGCATCTTTGGTCTGTGCTGAGAAGAAAACCAGGATGTATTGGAAACCACTCGCGCACCCATGTTCATCCTTGCTGTAAGGATGCGCACCTGGCACAAATTTAGAATGCAACAATTCACAATATGGGCCATGTTTGTCTCTGGTGGCATTCTCCAGGTTTGGGCCTAATACTCCTGTGAGTACAATGACATTTTTGTGCTCCTCTTTAGCAGGGACAAAGACAGCTCAAGGTGACTTCAAAATCCCTTACGTCTAGAAGAGGCCTAGAAATGCCTCTCTAGCTCTGGAAGCAGGCGGCTGCATTGAGATCCCCATCTGTGTCACACTGAGTCACCACTACCTGCTGTGTCTTTGGGCTTTTATTGAAAAATACAAGAGAAAAATTACTGTATCTTTTGCCCTTGCTGAGAAGCACTTCTGAACTTCAGCTGATGCACAGGGGAAAACTATGGACAGATCTTGGGCTGGACCACTACTTCTTTAGCCCCTGCACAGCACCGAGGCACACGCTGCCTTTTCTGTCCTCTCAGGGACCCCTTTGGTGAGCCTACATGGCTGCTGCTGCAATTGTGGATGAAATGTGAAACATCCCCATTTCCCCCCCAAGGAGTACTAAAAGCAGGCATGCAGCTTAAGAAAAATAGAGGAAAATACCTATTTTAACTTTGCTTCTAATCACAAAACATATATTCTTAAATATGCACATATCAGCAGAAACAGGGGGTAAGGGCTCCCATTCTAAAACAAACAGAAACATGCACTTTGAGCCCTCATATGAAATGGCAGTAAAAGCCCAACCCGATAATTATTTTCCTTGATTTTCAGCCAGACGAGGCACAAGACAAATAAGTCATCAAGGACAAATAAAAGGAGGTTCATTCATCGCATTCAGGGCTGGAATCTTTAATGGTCACCAAATGAACTAAGATAACTAAGTAACCATTGTAAATATTAATCTTTAAAGGAAAACAATACTCCCAACAACAGGAAGCCTGATAAGACATTGGATGTTGCCATCAGTGTTATGGAGTCTCTCTAATTTCCTTAGTTTTTTCTTATGCCTGTAGAGGGATCAGGAAGGGGAACATATGGTATCTCTCAAAGGAAGTAAATTAACATTATTAATAGCTAATGTGGGAGAGGTGAAGCAGTGATTGTTCGTGGTGGTTGTTATTGTGCTTTTGTTGGGGGGGAAGCCTGCCTGCTAGTGAGTTTAAGCACTCAAGCCAAATTCAAAATCTTGTATTTATAAACAGAGATCTGATAACAGTTGCCTAAGCATCCATGATGCTTTGCCAGCGCACGCACGTCAAGCTGATCTGAAGGGACTGTGTCTTGGGGTTTTGTCCTAGGAGTTAGCTAACACAGATGAGAACTTACGGCATGGTTCCTGCTCCCAAATAACTCCTCATGTGGACCCTTACATTCTTCTTTGCATTAGTTTATTTCGAAGCAGGAGGAACATGGATGGGTAGGCCTGTACTTCTGAGGAAAAGCAGTCCTCTGACATCCACTGAGGCAGCTGGTCAAGGAACCATTGAGTAGGTGGGTTCTCACATGCCATGGTCACTGATGTGGGAATTCTACTTTCAAGTGCAGAGTGATGGCACCAGCAGGTTTCTGGGGGCTGTGCAGCAGTGTGGTATGCAAGTAGCAGAATTATTTTGTGGGAAGCGATGGTAACAAAGTGCTGTATTAGGACAGATTGAATTGGTGACCTGGAAAGGTCTCTCAGAGTCCTGGGATCCCTTGCAGTTTCCCCACACTAAGAGAAGAATTCACCTTTCTTAGGCCTCTGCTTTCATCCCTCTCCCAGAGTATTTAGAGTACTTACTTACTCTAAATAACATTGTCACTTAAAGAACTTACATTACAAGCTGTTGATACTCAAAAGAGTAGGACCCTGATCCCAGTCTCAGCCTTGTTTTTCCTAGAGCACCTGAAAGCATGAAATGCATTCCTCATTTCTCCAAGAGATCCTATACCACCTACTTTCTTCCCAGTCATGAAACCCCAATGCAATTCCAAGCTGGCCTGGCAGAATTGGACTTTGTGGCACCTTTCACACTGAGACAACCTGCAAAATTGGCGGATCTCAGTAAGAATGAGAGGACTTGATTAGAATTACCCAGTGATACCAGTGATAAATTTACCCAGTGATACCCAGGGATAAAATTACTCAGTAGATATAAGCAAGTTCTAGGGGAAATTGTTCAATAAAGTCTTCAGAAAGAAAACAGTGAATTTTGGTATAATTAATTCACTAGATCTTAATAAAAATTGAGTAGGCTAGTAAGAAAGCCTCATGCTTCAGGGCACATGGTGATTGCTTTATAGAGACAAAGGAATTCTCTCTGCTCTTGAAAGCTTATACTTAACTGCAAGTTGACAGCTGGATTTTGGTTTCTAGGCCTGAAGAGGACAACTTGAACATCTAAGACAGTACAGACTTAGACAGGTGCAACTGCTCCATTGTGAAACCTTGCAACTCTACTTGAAGAGATAACTCAGTAAACTCTCATTAAGTTTGTGTCTTAAAGCTGGTCTAAAATACCTCTTCCTGGGTGATTACGGGATATTTTATTTCTTCAGAAACTCGTCACATTGACCAAAAAGTTTATGAAAGGCTGACAGAGCTGTGCATTGTTTGCTGGCGCTGTGGAGTTACATGACAAAGATAAATTGTTCTCTGTGCTGAAGCCCGGGTGGTTTATAACGTTGTGAAGTTTTCCACACTGCCAATTTTAGGGCCCTTTAGTATTTCAAGTTATGTAAACTTATAATAAAACTGTTACTCCTTGTCTCTGAAGAATGGGACTTTCTGCTCAATCAGGACAGGGCTGAATTCCAGACATGAAAGGGAGGATGCTTTCATGATGGCCTAGGAGAGGACGTTTCCAAAACATCTATAGCAGTACAAGACAACAGATGTTTAGCCAGGACAGTTCTCCAATCAGGTGAGACACTACTTCAAAGAAATTAAATGCGTCAAAGCAGACTCTTTAGTGACTGAAATACTTTCCGAGAAAGGCAATAAATCTGCATATCTTCATCATCTTAACAACCAATATGATGACATCACCCTGATAAGTACAACTCATTACAGCGTGGTCTTGCATTCCTTCTTTTTTCCCTGTCCCGACCTTCCATCCACGTTGGGCACCTAGTGTGGTCGGTTGGTGGTAGCAGATGAAAACAATTCTACTCTAAAACCACCACAACCTCAAAGAGAAAAGCAAGTTACACTGAGCTTCCAGGGAATTAAAACACCAAGTCCAAAAGTTTAGAGATCTCAAAGTGGGGTCTGTGGCAGCTGGAGACTGTGAGCAGCTCTGGGCCACACAAAGGGCACCCACACGATTAACCCCTGCACAAAGCTATCGCTCACTTCTGACCCATTTTCTCTCCTTATCATGTAATTAATCACACTTTGCAAGAGTTTCATGGAAGGAGTGAGCTGTCTGGGGGCGGCTGCGATTACTCAGTTGTAACTTGTACTCTCCACCCAGGCAGGGGAGTATGGGGAAATACAGCACTCCTGTCCCCACTCACCCCCCTTGGACCTTGTGCCCAGGTGCAGGAGCCATCCCTCCTCCCCCAGTGGCACATGAGAACGAAGGGCAGACTTGGCTTCTGCCCTTCTCTTGACCAGAACAGCAGCACCTGGAGCAAGACATCAGATGACCTTAACAGGTTATTTGTGGTAAAGCTCAGAAACTTGATTACTAATCTCTGGAAGCGAGGGGGAAGCCGGGGAAGGATTTTGACCCCATGGGTGCATCTCAGTGGCACGGGCACACAGTGCCTCCCAGGGCCACCCCAGGGAAGTGTGCCTCCAGGGCACTCCTCCCCACACCCCAGGCCAAGACATGGCTGTAACCGACACAGGACAATTTACAGGACAAATATTGAGGATAATTAAGGATAATCTCTGCTTTAGGTGTCTTGCAAAGGAGGTCAGGTACTCTCTTTCAACAGATGCAATGTTGTTAGGCAGCTCCACTTAATAGCAGGTACTTGTTTCTCATAACAAATAACAATAAAACCCCTATCTAGATCCTAAAGGTTTCCTAGATTTAATCTTCTCAAAACTCAGACAAGATCATTACAGTGAGTTCTGCCTCTAAAGAGCCGTAACAGTGAATCGCATTACCAGCGCCAATCTCCTGCTGGTAAACATTTTCCTTATGATACCCACACTAGCAAATGCAGAGAGGTGCTATGATATTTATGTCCCAAGCTCAGACAATAACATCCTTTCAAATAACTTGGCAGGTCAGGGTAGACTAGATAGTCACATGAAAGCAAAGGAGGAATCTGTCCCAGCAACTTCTGCTTTTTTGTTTTTCTTTTTTTTTTTTTTTCAGTCTGCTGATTTCATAATATTTGGTCATAAGATGTTGTTTTCGATACTTGCTTACTATCACGACGGGATACTTGCTAAATAGCCTTTGGGTAACAGACATTTGCATCGCTGGAAATGTAGAGAAGCTGGGACTAACCAATTCCTGCTCTTGAAAGATCCCACCCAAAGGGACTTGAGAGGGCATGTGTTGCATGATCTCTTCTGCCTATGGATGCTACTGCTGACACAGGAGGAGATCTGGCAAAATGGCAAGTTCCAATCTCTCTTTCACAATCCTTGGGCACATAAAAGGCCAATTTCCAAGAAATCAGAGCAACAGCAACTCCCATCCCTGTGAAGAAGGGATATTCCTTGGAAACATCTGTCTTGTGCTATTAGAGGCAGGATGCTGAAGATGAAGGACCAGCAGCTAAAGGAGGCCAGCTGGTCTACAGTCAAGCCAAGACTGTGCTCAGGCGAGAGGCCTGATTGAATGATTTCTACGGAAAGGTTGATTCAAAACGTAGGAAAAACACATGGCAAGATAGACACTGAGAGATCACTGTTACAGTCCGGCCATTTGTAGCACTTCTGGCCTAGCAATTTATCGTGCTTTCATGTGTCTCTCTCTCCTTTTACATCTAGGCACACTGCTGCAGTACTTGAAAAGCTTCAGCAACATTTTTAACATATTAGTCTATATTTGAATTAAGCTTATGGGATTGAGAACAGCATTTGATCCTCAAGGCTGCATGCAGCAATTGAGCTTTTACAAATAACCATGCCCACATAATTATGAAAATAGAAACTGAGAGAGGCCTTTCCATGCAATCCAGGTAACTCTGCAGTTCTACATACTCCGTAACATTTAATAAATGCATGTTATTTTAGCTCTATATTGCTCTGTGCTTTCATGATCCTTTGAAAGCTCAAAGATAAACAAGAGTCTCCTGAAATGACCTTGCTACACTAGATCAAAGAATAGGCAAGGGAAAAACGCTTGCAGTGTTAGGCCAATCAGACTGTCCATGGCTGCAAGAAACTTCTCTCTAAAGCAGGTTCACCTCCACTTACCCTCTTTATGTGACACTTCAGCTCAGGCAGACTAGCCCTAGTTTCCTTTCTGTATGTTTTCATTAAGCCCTAGACAGCTTTATAAATTAATATACCAATACAAGCACCAACATCTGGTCCCACTTGGGTTAACAGATTAAATGAGCTATTGATCCAGCCTGGTACCCATCACCTTCCCCGTGACCTTACAGTCTGGTACAGACAGACAGAACTGAGCAGAAACAGCATCCAGCTCCAAACTCCTTCACTTGGGGGAAGGGAGGAGGTTTATTCCTCTGTAGCGAAGTCAGGCATAGCAAGGCAGGGGGTGCAATGCAATAGGGCTACAAAGATGATATGGGGCCTGGAGCATCTCTCTTATGAGGAGAGGCTGAGGGACTTGGGTCTTTTAGTCCGGAGAAGAGAAGACTGAGGGGGGGATCTGATTAATGCTTATAAATACTTAAAGGGAGGGTGTCAAGAGCTGGTCAGTGGTGCCCAGTGACAGGACAAGAGGAACTGAGCACAAACTTGAATATAAGAAGTTCCACCTAAACATGAGGAGGAACTTCTTTACTTTGAGGGTGGCAGAGCCCTGGAAGAGTCTGCCCAGGGAGGTGGTGGAGTCTCCTTCTCTGGAAACATTCAAAACCCTGTTCCTGTGCAACATGCTCCAGGTGGACCTGATTTAGCAGGGGAGTTGGACTAGATGATCTCCAAAGGTCCCTTCCAACCCCATGCGATTCTGTGATGCAGGAGCCTAGAGCATGCACAAGCAGAGCAGATCTAGAAGCCAAGCTGCAAGCTCACTACTAGATACAACAGCAAAGCCATCGCATACAAAGTGGAGAGAACAGTGTCAACATCACTATTTATGATAACGCAGTAATGCAAACTGTCTCTGATTTGTGATGTTTAATTTTTATTTTTATTTTTTTTAATACAAGCCAGGCAGTGCTCCTCAACTCTAGCTCAGCTGATCTTGTCCCCTATGACAGGGTTCTAAGGAAAGGTGGGTGGTAAGTTCACAAGGATGCTCCTAGCAATGAACAGCATCTTACAAGTAAAGCCCAAGGAGAAAAAGCTGACTTGCTGCACTAGTCTCCAGGTCTGTGGCCTTTGTTTTGGTGGTGAGGCTCCCTGGAGCTGGAGATGATCCATTATGCAATGCCAACCAAAAGCTCCAATCCAAGCCTCACCAGCATCACATTAAAAGCCTCTACAACCCATCATGTATTTTGCTGGCTCCCGACAGAGTGCAAGGCAGGGCAGGGGGCTGGCACCATTTTTAAACACCAGGACACCGATATAAAGCTTGCCAGATTTACACTCTAGCTTTTTAATTCAACTTGATGAACACTGAGTCTTCACGCCAGCTGTGCCTCATGGAATAGATGCTTGTATTCAGCAGGCTGCTGTGCCAGACTCACCTCCATTCTGCATCTCCCATATACCAACTACATGACCACAATTTAAATCTGAAAGCAAAAAGGCAGAGAAAGACAAGCTCTGACACTCGGTTCCCCTCTCAGAAGCCCAGTTTGGCTCTGTTTACAATGAATTCTGTATTCAGACAATAAAAGGTACTTGAGCTAGAGAGCAAAAGAGTAGGACTAATTTATTACTAAACAACAGTACCACTAACTGACTTGCAGTTAGCCCTATTGTTTGGACAGTAATAGCTACAGATCGCCCCCAGTACATATGCAGATCTTTCAACTCCTATACATTAAAAGTACTACTTATAAAAATATAGATACTATCATATTACTTCACAGATTGGAAAACAGAGGCTTGAAAAAAGTATCAGATAACTTGTCCAGAATCCCATGATAGTAGTAGAGCCAGAATCACACCTACAGCTCTCCATTCCCTAACTAATGCCCAACTGTCTGCATAATTTTCAGTCTGTCTCTGCTGAAATCTTTTGTTGTGACAAGAGTCTAAATGCTTTATATCACTTTTGACTTATAAACGATGAGATCACTTAGTAAGATGCATCCAAA